CCGCAGCTGTGTTACCCCCAAATTCCACTACCTCCGCTCTGCTCCGGTCCGGTCCGCCCCCGCCTTCCGCAGCCGCTCGCTTCCGAACTCAATTTTTCCTGGTACCCGCTCTACAACGGCCCCGCTCCGGTACGGAGACCTGAGGTGGGCAAACAAGCATGCGCGGGATTTTCGAGAACTTGCGATACAGTCCGAGCAATAAACGCGGAAGTTAGATCCAAACACCCGTTGTGTGGGAGAAGCATCGAAATGAACTATTTAATCCGCCTATCATGTGTGTTGAGAGATCAGCAATGTTTGGATCAACAAAGTGTGACTACTTTGATAGTAGAAACTGTATTTATGGCTTACTTTTGTGCATTTAAAGTTCAGCCGCCATTGATAGTTGTTAAAAGTTGTTAAACCTGTGCATATGAAACAAAAAACGCCTTTTGTTTATCGATTTATTGTGAAAAACGAAAGTTGTGCTTGCTCCTTTTCCTGTTGGGCAGTTGTGATTTCTGTCCATTTACTGCGGAGGTGCTCCGGTGTCCGGCGAAAATAGGATCGATTCTATTTTTGCCGGACACCGGAACAGAGGGCGGCGCATGGCGCCGCATTGCCGGAGCACTGCCGGAGCACGGCCGCAGTAGTGGAATTGCTCTGATTGACTAGAACGGGACCGATTTTGCTCCGGCGTTCGTGTCGGAGCGGAGCGGAGGTAGTGGAATTTGGGGGTTAAGCCTGGTTTATGCTTCTCCGTCAGCTCCGCAAAGGACAGACCCGCACGGATTGACGGAAGCGTTTTGCTCCTTTACTTCTCCTTCTCCTGGAGAGTGTTGCAAAGCAATTGCCCGGCAGGACAGCAGAGGGCGTAGCGCTGTTCTGTGGTATCCTGTCATGTATCGGTCCAAGATAGTGTGTTTATATTGTGTTTTTTGTGTAAATAAGAGACTTTTTAACAGACATATTTGTCTCTCATTCTCCTCCACCTCTTCATGCGCTCCCCACCTCTAAACCCATGTTTCCTGTCATTTCCGTCCACAAATAAAATGCTTGCTGCGCATCTTTTCACTCCTCCAGTCACGGGAGAATTATACGTTCATATTTTTAGAGTTTTTTCACGAGGTATTCTTCAAGCTTCTCCGTGTCTGCCGCTAGTTATCCTCGGCTCTCTTTGCAATGGCGGCGCTGTAAACAGCGGCGTCCTGACCAATCACAAGCTTGCGTAATCCGTCTCGTTTGACGGATGTTTAAAAAAGTGGGCTTGACTCGGTACGTACTTGCGTGCCTGCCGGAGCCCTACGCAAGGACGGATAATGGCGTTGCGTGTCTCCGCACTGACACAGACGGAGAAGCATAAATCAGGCTTTAGGGTGTTGGGGGCGTTTTGTTACTTGTTGTTAACCAGTGGGTGTTTACTACATCATGCTCCGCCTTATAGGTGAGGCTTAAAGGGCGGAGCCATACGAAATAGAACGTTGGTTACCTTTGTAACCCCAGAGTCTATGAGTATGGCAGAACCCTTTAAGCATCTGGCCCACTGGTTCTGGGGTTCTTTGAACTTTTGGAGATGATCCTTGGTCCTCATACCTATTGTGATGGAAAAAAGACGGAAGCTGCCGGGCTCTGAGGGTGTGGTGATTGGAAACCGGCTGGTCCTCGTTACGGATAACGAGGCCGGGGAGGATAAAAGGGTGACAGGTCTACCAAGATGTGTGCGTGGTATACCTGTCATTGTGGCATTGGACTTTGGGGGGTGGGGTCGTTCGCAGTCGTTTAGGGCTGCCGGCGACGAAGACAGTTGAATAGGCGTACAGTGTTCCAGCGCTAGGAGGGAAGGCTTGTCGCCTTCTTTAGATAGCGAGGGCTGGGACTAGTGGATGCCAAGACCATGCCGATATCTGCCGCCATGGACTCTGGCAGTGGAACTTACGTTGTGGATTTACCCGCCGTCCTCGCTAGCTGCACCCCAGGGCGTTGGACGGCATTGGAAGCTCAGACCCCGGGGAGGGGGGTCACATCGTCTGGGACAGCTAAGTACCGCTGCTTGTTTTATTCATGCTGAACAGCTGGTTTTATCATAGGGGACTTTGGCCATAATGTTTTATTATTGATTGTGTAATAAAGTGTGTCTTTTTATAAGTCGTTGCCTACTGGTGGTGTTTTCGGTTTCTGACTGGAGGGCAAGATATTCTGCCCGTACGCCCACTGAAACTTACATTACACTATTTATAGGACCAGTGCCCACCTGATAGGCGGGTGTACATTAAAGCTCTTCAGTCATTGGTCGTTTTCGGGGACTAACTCCCAATAGGCGAGGTTTAAAGGGCTTCGCCATACTCATAGAATCTGGGGTTACAAAGGTAACCAATGTTCTTTCCTCTTGAAGGAAGAATTTGAAGTTCTCTGAACTAACAGCCATTTTCCCTCTGTTTTTCTTCATTTCTGGTTTGATGACATCACTTTGGTGATGCACATTTGTAGTCCTGGACACATTTTTCTACAAAATCTAAAATAACGTTTGGCCCCATTCAAAAATGAGTGATTTCTTAGCATCAGAATGCGTCTTTAAAATTCACGACATCATATCTGAAATCCACGGCACATAACAAGCGAAATTAGAAAATATCGTTTTTAGCCCCATTGACTTGCATTTATTTTGTCATTCTTCTGGGGACCCGTCGTCCGAAAGTAGATGGGCGTGACTTAGGCTCCTAGTTATCATGCTTCCATCCAGTTGATCTAAATAATACAGGAAATGTTTGCGCTCGTAAAGGCTGGTTTGCCACTGCACACAACCATTTTGTTTAACACTGTACATGTATTTAGTTGAATAGTTATAAACTGGTGGCCGGGTTCTGCCTTCGGGATAGGGTAAGGAACTCGGACATCCGGGAGGGACTCGGAGTAGAGCCACTGCTCCTCCGCATCGAAAGGAGCCAGTTGAGGTGGTTCATGCATCTGGTCAAGATGCCTCCTGGATGCTTCCCTTGGGATGTGTTTTGGGCATGTCTTGCTGGCAGGAGGCCCCCGGGTCAACCCAGGACTACATGGATGGAGGAAATACATCTCTAAGTTGGCCAGGGAATGCCTGGGTGTCCCAACTGAGGAGCTGGCCGTAGATGTGGCCGGGAAGAGGATTGCTTGGGATGGTGCCCCTGTGACCTGGACCCGGATAAACAGAGGAAGGTGAGGTGAGTGAAAAAACAAAAACCAAAGACTGCTAACCCTGTTGCTAATGCTAAAACACTGTAGCATTTTATTAAAAATAATTTACAGGAAGTGTCTCTACCAACTATTGTAACTGTATATTAAAATAACATTCGCAAGCACACTTAAAAAAATTAGAAATGTTTTCTTTCAGCTTCATTGAGATAAGGAGGTAAAATATTCTCTGAATAGTTAACCAAACCAGAGGCTATTTCTAGATTTTTGCCACTGGAGAGCATCAATTCCTCCTTCTCGCTCATAAGATCAGTTAAAAGCTGAACTTGAAGAGATGTAGCTAGGAGAGTGTGCACAGTAGCGCGACTCATTGTGTAGCTCAGCGTGACAAATTGAGGATGTGGCGTGAGAGTGTGTGAAGACAGTCAAATGCGTGGGTCTCACACTCACTGAGTGAGAGTTGTTCACCCTGTATATGATAATTTTAGTATGAGAATATCTCATTATCATTAAGGATAAGAAAGGGAAGCAAGATGCAAGTTTTGGATTTAAAATAAATTTCCTGAAGCTGGAATTCTCTCCAGCTGAGCCTGAGATCAGTGGACTCAGTGGTCTCCTTTAAAAAGCATCACTTGTTCAGGCTGGCTTTAGAGTGACCTCCTGATCATCCTTGTCTTCCTCACTGGCTCTTTTCAAATGGGTGTTCCTGTCATTTCTGTATTTTTGTGCTCTCATGTATACTTTACTCACTTTTATCTTAATTTTTCTTCCACGTGTTAATTCTGAACGTTATAATTTTTACTATTCTTGTGATTTTTTTTTATCCTGAGGGGTGTTATAGAAACATCTCTTCTTCTTCCTTTGATGGATAAAATCACCAATGACGTGTTTCCTCAGGTGATCTTTATAGGAATCTGAAACGTAAGAAGAGAAGAAGAAATCTGTAAGGAAGCACGTACCTTTTCCCACCTCTGTGATAGTTTGCCTGCTGATGGCGCTACAGCACTACTGCAGATATATATGTTCAAAGTAACTCGCGTTTGCAATAAAAAGACAAACAGGACCAGCTTTAGACACACTATTATGGAACTTCCTGATTACATAACCTGACCAGCAGAAGGATGAGTGGGAAGCTGTGAAATAGTGTTGGTGATGATTTGTTTTTGAACGGTTTACAAGGAAAAGCTGCTGCTCATTAATATCTCTAATCTGAGCATCAAGCAAGGTTATTATCATGCATTTATACAACACTGAGACCGCTGACTCTCAGAGGAACAAATCACCAGAGTTAAACACACAAGGCCGTGTTTGAAGGTCACATGTTTCCAAAGGGTCCTGCAAAGGACTGGCTCTCTGTCCAGGGTGTACCCCGCCTGGTTGCCCATTGACCGCTGGAGATAGGCACCAGCCCCCCCGCGACCCTGCATGAACAAAGCGGGTTCAGATGATAGATGGATGGATGTTTCCAAAGGAAGCCCCGAGCTTTGGTTGGAGACAAATGCATGATGACAGCACGGGGAAGGGTGAGGGGGATGTGTGCATGGAAGAGAGACAAAGGGGGAAAGCGCTGCAAGGATTCATTCACGTGTGACAGTCAACAGGATCTGAGCTATCTTAATTTATTTTGTTCATAAGTGGAACTAAAATTTGTCTGCCTTGAATCCTGCGCATTCAAGCAGGCTCATGCAATTCAGTGAATAAATTATCCCCGAAGCACCTTTGCATGTTAATATGTAGCACAGCAGAAGACTGTGTGTGCCCTTCTTCCTGTCACCGCGTGGGTCCTACCTTGACCAGACACCTCCAGCGTGTCGGTTTTATGCTGCAGCAAACGGAAAAGACTCACTCAAGGATGTGAGTAAGCACTTTTTTAATTAAACAGACTGAAATTATACAACCAGTGGTTAAAAACATAAAGGAGTCTAATACAGGCTACATGTGTCACTTTGGGAAACAGGTTGTGCTTGTATTACACACTCGGGTCGAAGGGAAGTAGAAAAATGACATTTCCTCCTCTTCAGGGTGTTGAGGTTGGGAGTGGGATGGCTGCTGTCTCTGTTTAGTCCAGGTCTGAAAACCAAACTCTTCATGTTCCACACATGACCCGAGTCCTCAGACATTACAAAACTAACAGAGAAGCTTTATTTTTAAATTTCCTTTAGCAAAATAAGAGTCTCTGTGTGTGCTCATCCTGAGGAGAGAGTGAAGTGTGTCTCCTGTTTGAGTGAGGTAACCATGAAAACTACAGTTTTATTACTAGCACATCATCATTATTAATGCATTTCACTTACCAGTTTTAAAAAAAACCAACTTCCTTGTCTTTCTCATCAACACGTGTCATTGTTATGCTACCTTCATAAATCATTTCAGCCAAAATAATCATTTAAAAAACCTAAAGAGTTAAAAGCCAAGCATCACCACGAGGCTGGATATATACTGGTTTTAATAGTACAGGACACTGACGGGAAAAGACCCAAATAAATTATTAGAAGATGCACTCTAGGTCATATTTCGTATATTTGTGCGTGGCAGGTAAATAAATGTAAAACTCCCTCTGCAGCTATGTATTCTGACTTGTCTAGACCGTCATGTGGTTCTACGCGTGAGAACATTCTCCAGCATGTCTCTGATGAAATGAGAGTTCCAGACCAGCAGAGAGGAACGACGTCTGCACCAGTCCTTCACCCTAAAGCTCAGTTTCACAGAGATAGTCACTGATCTTCTTCTCTGCTTTTGTACATGTCAGTTTAGTTTGTCCACAGCTTCCACGCGAGCATTAGTGAGGTCTTCGAGTGTCGACCCAGAACACCGCAAACAGAACTAGTGGTATGAAAGGAAGCAGGGGTGGCCCTTGTTCGGTGTGGTGAAATGCCAGGTCGGCTCACATGTCCTCTCTTCCTGTTTATTCAGAAGTCCATGGATATGGAGCGCTGCTGTGGGTCGACTATGGTGGCGCTGTTGCGAGCACTGGTGCCGCGGATGCTGAGGGTTCCACAGGCTCCCGCCATCCCACCTCCAATACCTCCAGCGATGCCACTGGGCCCTGCCATACTAACTCCTCCTGTAATGCCCATCCCCCCACCCATGGACACTCCTCCTGTAATCCCCACTGCTCCTCCGATCCCTCCTCCGGCAATCCCGGATGCACATCCTCCTCCCATTGCGCCTCCACCCGTTGCTCCTCCTACTATTCCCACAGCACCACGCCCATAAATCTCACACGGGATCTCCTCTGCGACGCGGTCCTCAATGACCTGCTGGTCGCAGTCATGAGTCTGTGCATGCTGCTTGTAGCCATAGCAGCTCTTCTTGTAGGCGGAGGTCGAGTTGAAGGTCTTCATAGGAGGGGGCTTGGAGAAGTCGTTGTGGTAGGACAGCTCCATGGAGCTCAGGGTGGTTCGGCTGTGCTTCATGCTGCCACCTCCAGTTGCCACAGAGGCCTGTGAACCACAGTGGTGCTCGTGGACACAGCGGGACATGGTGGAGGAGCGCCGCAGCTTGTGGAAGCTGTCCAACTCTTCAGAGAGGTCAGCTAAGTCTGAGGACATCTCCTTGTCACGGAGAGAAAAGAGCTCGTAATGGGGTGGGTCAAAGACCTCCTGGAACCCAGCCTTGTTGAAGACACCAGGCCGCCGAGCCACAACCTGGAACACAGGAGAGGAAGCTCTTTAAGCATGAGCAGGTTTTCTACTCACATGATCTCACACCTTGATCCGATTTATGATTAACAACACAAAATCGCTGCTTCAAGTGGCCTGAAAACACATTTATTTCTCCTTGTTAACCATATTTAAGCAAAGTCTGCATAGAATATGATGACTATTAGTCAAGTCTGACAGTTGACATTTTCTTTTTTGCAGACTTAATTTGAAAAGTGGTCAAATTAAGATTACATCTTATGGCCGCAATAGCAAATCTACAAAACAAGCTAGCTTTTAAACACAAACTCTCATCCCTCCTGTCGGCTGTCACCCCTAGACCATGTCCGTCTGATACCAAAACGCATGATGCCAGGGTAAACAAAAGAACGCTAAACACCAGTCACTGTTAGGTCCAAATGTCTTTTGTTGTCTGTGACTTCAAATGGTGTTTTTTTTTGTTTTTTTTGGGACTCTGGTAGTTTGTCCCAAAGTTGACGTGGTAGCAGCCGGCTGTTTCTCCTCTGTTATTGAGCGGAGAACATTTCACACCAGTGGTGCTCTGCTGGCCCTGAGATGTGTTATTGGCTGAGGTTTTCAGACAAATGAGAGACAACCACTTTTTTATTTTTATTTATTTAGTTTTATTCTTCACAACATATTATAGCTATGTGAGAATGTTGTTGAGAGCCATGAAAAGATGTTACGTTTTAGTTAAAGCTTGAATATGGAACGCAGACACTGTGAACACTCTGCAAACTCTTGTGATCAGAGGTGGTATCGCGACAACAGGAGTAATTTCCAAACATTGGGATGTTGGTTAACTGCTGACACGTTCCAGGATCATGTTCAGAGACAAATCATACAGGATAAGGACTAATTTCTATTAACAAGTTTATTTTATAACATTATTTACTGTTAGAACATCTTTTGGGCTCAGAATCAGTTGCTTGACTTTTCAAGACCGCCATTTTATACAATCCCAGCCTCGCCTTGCTGAGCAAACTTTTTAGCGTAACGGGGCCCTCTGGTGGCTGGTAGATGTAAGCATAAACACAGTGTCGTGCCCGGCAAAATAAAATTTTGATTATTTATTTATATTTTAAATTAAGCTTTTAAAGGAAAAACTGTACATTTATTCTGCACACCTCGATACGCCCCGTGGAGGCATTGTTATTTTTTAAATATAGTTTTTTATTCAAATGTTCCATATTCTAACTTTAAGGTTAGGGTTAGGTACAATCCAGTCATCAAAATGAATGGAAGTCAATGACGGTTCTAACAACAAATGCAAGACGATAATGCGTGTGTGTGTGTGTGTGTATTTTCATGAAGTTCCCAGAATAACCACTGAGGCCCTGTCCACACGTAGCCGGGGATCTGCCAAAACGTAGATATTTTTCTACGTTTTGGCCTGTCATCCACACGAAAACGGAGTTTTTTCACACGAAAACGGATCTTTTTAAAAACTCCGGCCAAAGTGAAGATCTGCGTTTTCTCCGTTTTGGGTGTCTGCGCGTGGACGGACAAAACCGGAGTGTTAAGGTCCGCAACGTCACTTTCCGCGACAAAAAATGCTGACATCACGTGTGCGACCTGTGTTTACATTAGCCGGCATCATGGAAGCCTTCAGAGCTGCGCTCTGTCACTACCCGATCCATCAATTGCCCAAGCGCTTTTTGCTTGTTTGTTTTTGCAAGCGGAATTACTGCTCCTTGCGGAAGACCACAGACGAAGGACGAGGTTAAGAACGGGGGAAGTACTGCCGCCTACAGGTCTGGCATGTCCATAACAACGTATTTATCCGGGTACGTGTGGACTGAGTTTGTTTTTAAAACGCGGTGGTGTGGATGCAAGTTTTTGGAGGGGCGGATATTTGTTTTTAAAAAACCCCGGCTACGTGTGGACTAGGCCTGAGTATATTCATCTACAACTGATTAACTTTTGGAGTCAGCCAAATCCAAGATGGCCACCAAAGCTAACTTATATTAGCTTTAGCAAACACAAAAGTGATAACTCCGTAAAGATTAGAGCTCTTAACAGAAATTTGTGAAGTTAGTTACCGAGGGTGTTTTGCAGCCCATACTCTATCTTGATCTGCATGACTTAAGCAGTGCAAAACCTCTAATCCTTACAACTTCAGAACCACCGTTGGACTGATTGACCAGGTCTTACCTTCTTTCTTGGCTGCTTCATCTGGACCAGGATGGAAATGATAAGAAGAACAAGAACTATGCCTGATGAAACTCCAATAACAGTCCCGTGGGTCTTAGTGATCTGGTGGAAAAGCCCCTTAGATTGTGTCTCTGAAGAAGACATGGAAGGACAGATGATAAAAATAAAGGAAAATAAAAAGCATGTAGAGAAACTCATTAGAGAAACTCAACCTCTGTTGGAAATGTGAATCAAAATGGAAACATTCACCTTTGCAGTGGTTTTCATCCCACGGATAGACACAGTTTTGAATCCCATTGCACACCAGGGAGTTGTTAATGCACATGTTGCTGTGGCAGAAGAATGTGCTGGCTGTACAAGGAGCTGCGGGCAAAACACACACAGATAATGAAATTTAGAAAAACAGCTGTCCAACTGTGCTGAGGAAGGGACAGCTACGCGGTGAAAAGAAGCAGGAAACATTTTAGTGATAATAACAATAAAGCAATAACAATGACAAGAGAAAAACACTTTGGCAGAAGAAATGTCTGGAGGCCTGTAACAAAAGAATAAACGTTTTAGAGCTTGGAGAAATAGGACCAACAGAGACAGAGTGTGTGAAGCCATACATCATGATTCCCCACTGACACATCAGGGGTGATGGGGGGGGGGGGGGGGGCAGCATCAGTGAACTGCAGCCATCATGTGCAGGGGGGAGCAGGGGAAGGGAAGCAGGGGAACTCAGAGCAATGTGAGGGGAGGACCATGGGGAAGATGAGAAGAGGAGTAGAGATGGTGGAAATGACTCCGGCACATCATGAGGTGCCGGTTGGTCAGACATCTGCTGTGAGAGGAGCTCATTAAAGTCTCTGCTGCTGTATGAATCCTGTGATGGCAGGGTCAGAGGTGACTGACAATCGATGCTGGCTGCCAGGCTCAGAAGGAAGAGCTGCACGGCTGACGGCCGAGCGCTGCCTGGTCAGAGATGGGCTCTGATCAGGAATCAGAGTCATTTAATACTTTAATGACACTTTCCTGCTTCAGGGTACTCCATTTTAGCTGCAACTATAATTAAACGTGTTATCTAATCTGATAAATTCGAGGGAATTTGAGTTGATTTCTCTATGAAACAGCTTAACTTTGGGATGCTGGTCGTTCACAGCAGCTGATTGCTTTAGGTTCCTCAACAGTGTTTGCTTTATTCATCTGTAGTAGTTAGTTTTATTTCCTTTTTGCTTCTCAGCAGAAATCAGAAATTTCTTGTAAACAATTTTCTTTGCCATGTTAAATTAAACTAGAGTTAAATTAAACTCAGCACACCAGCTTACTGCCTCCAAGAGGTTTAAGTCCCTTTCTACTCTTTAGTCGAGTATAATCCAGGATCATCATCCCCGGAAGATCCAATAATCAGAAATATACATTTATAAGTTATTTAACTGCATTTGCGTTAACTAATTATAACCACAGTTTAAAATGGTTCTGTTTTCTTGTGAAAATTGTTGCAAAGAGATATAATTTAAGTTGATTAACACCAGAGCCAGGCGCACTGCGCCGTTATCTCCGTCACTGTAAATGAGGGAAAAACAAACGGATCCTTTTCTGACCTTCCCCACCTACAAAGTTTAATTACAACAATCAAACGTGACAGAGCCTGGATTTGTATTCTGAACAGTCTAAACATGTTTTAAGAAGAAGAAGAAGAAGAAAGAAGAAAATATCATTTCTATAGCGCCTCTCAAGTTAAGAATCACGAGGCGCTTCACAAAAACAAAAACAAAAAATATAAAAAAATTGTAAAAATATAAAAAAGCATTTAGAAAATGTTTAAAAATATATTTAAAACAAGCAAAAATAGACAATTGTGATTAAAAAATATGTTAAGAAATAGAGAGAGTGAACAGGAAAGAGGGAAATCAGTGGATCCTGAGGAAGGTGGAATAGGTGGGGAGAGCAGAATAAAGAGAGAGTGGTGAAGAAGGTCATACAAAAGCCAGCTTGAACAAGTGAGTCTTCAGCTGCTTTTTGAAGGAGACCACTGAGTCCACTGATCTCAGGCTCAGGGGGAGAGAGTTCCAGAGTCTGGGGGCCACAGCAGCAAATGATCTGTCACCTTTGGTCTTTAGCCTGGTGCTGCACAACCAGTAGGCTTTGGTCACTGGACCTCAGGGACCTGCTGGGGGTGTAGGGACTAAGAAGATCACCAATGTAAGATGGTGCTTGTCCATGTAAGGCCCTATAGACCAGAACCAGGATGTTGAAATGAACCCTGAAGTTGAATGGCAGCCAGTGAAGCTGGAGGAGAAGCGGGGTGATGTGGCTGTGTTTGGAGGACTTGGTCAGAAGCTGAGTACAGGCATTCTGAACCACCTGTAGACGGTTCAGGGAGGTTCTGCTCAGACACGTGAAAAGAGAGTTGCAGTAGTCTAAGCGTGAGGAGATGAAGGTGTGGATAACTGTCTCAAGTTCAGAGCAGGACAGAATGGGACTCAGCTTAACAATGTTCCTGAGATGGAAGAAGGAAGAGCGAACAAGAGAACTGACATGAGAATCCAGGGTGAGAGCCGGGCCAAAGGTCACGCCAAGATTCCTGACGGAAGGTTTGGTGTGAGAAGCAAGCTGACCAAGAGAGTCTCTGACTTTGGGAACCAGCTTGTCTGGGGCACAGATGAGGATCTCAGTCTTATCTTCATTCAGCTGAAGAAAGCTCCCAGCCATCCAGGTTTTGATAGAGTCTAAGCAGGTGTGTAACAGCTGCAGCTTAGACATCTCATGGGGCTTAAAGGAGATGTACAGTTGGATGTCATCTGCATAAAGATGGTAGGAGATTCCTTTGAAGGAGATCAGGATGTGCTGAAGAGGAAGCAGATAGAGGAGGAAGAGCAGAGGCCCCAGCACAGAACCTTGTGGGACACCATGGGTAAAAAAGGTGGTGGAGGACCTAAACTTGGAGACGGCCACAGAAAAGGAGCACTCAGAGAGATAAGAGGAGAACCACTCCAGCGCAGATCCTGATAGGCCTACCCAGTCTCTCAGCCTCTCCAGTAGCAGTTGATGGTCAACAGTGTCAAAGGCTGCAGTCAGGTCCAGCAGGACCAGAACAGAACAGTCCCCTGCATCACTGTGAGTCAGAAGGTCATTAGAGACCCTAAGAAGAGCTGTTTCAGTAGAATGAGCTCTACGAAAACCTGACTGGAAGCTATCATAGATGTTCTGTTCATCAAGAGCAGCTGTGAGTTGTTTAGCCACAACCTTTTCCAAGATCTTGGAGATGAACGGAAGTTTAGAGATGGGTCTGAAGCTGCTATGGAGAGAGGGGTCGAGACTCGGTTTTTTAAGAAGCAGGTGGATTACAGCATTCTTAAAATAAGCAGGGACCTGACCAGAGACCAGAGAAGCATTAATTATAGAGAGCACGCTGGGGCCGATGGACTGAAAAGCACTTTTAAACAAAGATGAGGGTAAGATGTCGAGGGGGCATGCAGAGGTCTTCATAGAGTTAACTAGTTTGGTTAACTCATACAAAGAAACAGGAGCAAAGCTACCTAGGATGATGGGCCTGGTTGGAGTCGGGAGAGGCAGCGATAAGGCTGAAGGAGAGATGCTAGATCTAACCTTATTGACTTTGTCCACAAAGAAAGACAGAAAGTTCTCACAGTCTGCAACAGAGTGGATGGAGGCTGTAGGAGAGGCAGGAGAGACAATGCTGCTGATGGTGTTAAACAGCACCTTGGCGTTCCCTTTGCTCTGGGACACCAGGTTGGAGAAATAGGAAACCCTTGCGTCTCTGACTGCAGAGTTAAAGGATGTCAGAAGATCCTTTAGGTGCAGCAGATGGACGTGGAGACGGGTTTTCTTCCACAAACGCTCAATTTTTCTGCATTGGCGCTTCAGGCTGCGAAAGCTGTCATTAAACCAGGGAGTAGGGTTCACGGCAGGAACTGATCTGGTTCTGACAGGACAGATGTTGTCCAGAATGGAGAGGCAGTGATCGTTAAACTGAGAAGTTAAGGAATCTGGGTCGTTATCAGAAGAACAGGGAGGATCAAAAGCAGCAGAAGAATTGCTAGCTGTGCTCTCATTAAGAAAATGAGAACTAACCGTACGGCGAGCAGGAGGTGGGGACGCAGAAACTGACAAGTTAAAGAAAATGCAATGGTGATCTGAAATATAAACATCCTCAGGACAAACACTGTCAGCATTTCGACTCAGGGTAAAAACAAGGTCTAGAGTGTGCCCCCTGGTGTGTGTGGGGCCAGAAACATGCTGGGTAAAGCCGAAGGTGTCCATGAGGCTGGAGAAATTCATGGCAAAGAGATCGGAGGGATCATCAACATGGATGTTAAAGTCACCAACAATCACCAGTCTGGACAGCTTCCCAGTGGAGGATAGAAAGTCACTAAACTCCTGAAGGAAAGAACTGTTTGGACCAGGTGGACGATAGACCACAGCACAGTAGAACGGGTCCTTACGCCCGACTCTAATCAGCTGCAGTTCAAAGGAAGCAAAGTGACCAGAGGTCGTAGAGCTACATGGAAGATGGTCTCTGAAAACAACAGCTAGGCCTTCACCACGACCAGAACCCTGGGGCTGGCTAAGAAAAGAATAACCACTCGGGCAAAGTTCAATCAGACCAGAATAATCAGATGTTTGCTGCCAAACTTCAATCAGAAACAGAAAATCCAGTTTTTTAGACAGAATTAGATCATTGAGCAGGAAGGTCTTATTGTTAACAGAGCGGGTGTTCAATAGGGCCATGCTGAGTGAGGAGGAGGAATCAGAAACTACAGAAACAGCTGGAGTTAGTGGACGTAAATTAGCAGGGTTAGATCCACGGTGTTTATAAAACCCACTTATGGAGGGAACAGGAGGAGAAACCACTGAGGAATGAGGATAAACCGACCTTAAAAAACTTGGACGGATGAACCGCGTCGCAACGCGGCCTGGCGGGAATGCGGAAGTGGCGTTCAGGTCACCAAACAAAGGACAAGAAGCTAGAAGATTGCGCCGATGTTTACCAGATAAACCACGCTTTAAGAGAAGCCTTATTCTCACCTGGATTCCTTCTCGTTTACCTATTTTCCTCTGACGATTTCCCGGGACCGGACAAACATTGCTAGAGGTGCGCAGCTCTGGATCGTCGCCGTCGCCGGTACGCCGCTCAGGTAAACAAACAGGATGGTAAATTCTCGGTGCATCTTGGGCGATCGTGAACGAACGGAAGGACAAAAGAGTCTGGCGATCATAGGAGATGGTAGCAGGGACACTACTGAAGAAGATCGCAGACAGGAGCAAGGTGGAAAAGAGGAGGTTAGTGGAGAAAAGTTTGAAAAAGTGGCCGGTGACCGCGGCTAAGCCAAGCACAGGCGCCATCTTGCCGACCGAAAGAATCGTATGACAAAAGTGGCACCTGCTCAGTAAAACCACCAACAGGGGGAAAAATATCAAAATATTGTAGGCAGAGACGGGCTACAACTTCTGGATCCACTTTATATAAATCGTTTTATTGATTATCTTTTTTATGAAAGATAACTTTGACGTACACGAGCGACCAGTACTGGCTGCTGTCACCTGTTGTGATTGGTTAAAGCAGCTCTCTGCTGTCTGAGGGTAGGCCCCACCCACAACACCGCGGTTGCTGTGGCTCCCAGTGTTTTCTTTACTGTGGGAAATGGGTAATAATGGCTCTTTGATGGGAACAGGTTGCCGACCCCTGGTCTAAACTATCTGTGAAAGTTATTGTTTGGACCCTACTGTTCGACCTTTTTGTTAATTTAAATTTATAGTTCAAGTATTTAGTTGACCCTCATTTTGGACTTCATGAATTAATTGAAGTGAGTAAAATAAATTTTCTTTTCTCAGTTCATTTCATTGGTTCAGTTTCTTTTGGGGCATGAATTTTAGAATTTTTATGGTATTTTACATGGCCAGTTCTTAAAACGTCTTTTTAACTGTTTATTCAATCAAATGAAATAAATGAATTGTAACTTCTGAAACCACGTCTGCTGTCTCAATTAAGTGGAATGAATCTACATGCCTTAATTATTTCCTTGGGCGAAATTACCAAGGTGGCGTTGTTGGTAACAATTGGCTACTCCGATTATGGTAATGATGACTATAGGTCGTCCGGAGCGTGCCCGAATTATGGTTTTTCGAAATAATTGCACTCGAGAAGGTACAATTGCCATACTTGGTGTCAACAGGTCATATACCACTCCCGTATTGCCACATAATAAAAGGCAGCTGCCTGCTCTTTCAGCAGGACAGCTTTGGTATGGCTTTTCAGGTGCTGGGGTAATGAGAAACCCCAACTGCAAGCAGCGATTGTAAGTACTCTCCCTCCTGTGTTGGGTGACATTAGCTAATGCTCGTTGCTCCATCTTAATGTGTTTTGTATAGTGTGATCGCAGAAAGGAGCTGCATATGCTGTTAGTGTCAAACTGCACCCAGGTACTCCAAATCAGTTCTATGCCCCCGTGTGTGTGTGTGTGTGTGTGTGTGTGTGTGGCAGCTCGCCGTATTAAGGCTGATCCGACTCAGCCACGCTACAACTGTTAAGTCTTTGCCTCTGATTGGGGAGGGTGGTACTGATCCAGGGGAACCATGTCAGTTTGTTTGTTTGCAGTGTGGCTTCCCGTCTGTGCGCCGAGAGCCGTTATTACACTCAGCTTTGCCCGCAGCGGTGCCACCCAGAGTAGCAGAGTGTTTGACGGCGTTGGCGGTGCACTGAACCTCCTGCTGCTCCATCTCGCCATCCCGCCGCGACCGGTCTCATCTCCAGAGTCGTTTGTGGGCTCGGATGACTCCTCACTGTTGTTCTGTCCGTATGGATTTGTTTTGCATACAGGACCATGGGCGTCGCACCCGTGGGGGATGCAACACCCACACTTATTGAGATTGTTCAACTGACACCCTCACTTTTCCAGCTGTTTTGCTCACCTGCATTGGCGGTTTTAAACAAGGGTCCACAGGGGCCTGGGCCCCTATAGAACCGGCCCTGGCCCCTGTTATGGTCCCTGTGCTGAAGAGATCAGATTTTTTGTAGAAGTCAGCCAGAGGAGAATGTAGCTTCAGACATCTTATTTCCTGAAATTTGGACATCTCTCTTTCATTTGGCTGTGTTTGGAACGTTACTTTAAAAAAGTAATTTGTTATAGTTACTGATGACTTTGTCAAAGTAGCTCAGTTACTTACCGAGTTACAAAATTATAAAACTAATTACCAAGAAAAATAACTATAGTAACTTTTCATTAAAGAATGCCAGAAAAACGGGGTTCCCCTCTTTATTAAACTTATGTAATTCTCTATAAATTACAATACTGAAGTATAAATGACTAATGACTGGAACATAATAAAATGTAAGTCCAGCATTTTTTATAAAACTGTACAGTTGAAATGAATGGGCACTTACCAGGAGGAACATTACACTAATCTAGACTAATAAAATGTCACTGTGTGATATTTAACAAGACCCCAATCAGCTAAAATTTATAATTGCAAATAGAAACACCTGTAAAGGTTCCTGAGCCTTTAGATGGTCTCTCAGTCTAGTTAAATTACTGAAGTAAATGTAATTTTGCACAGTATTCTAATTTTCCCAGCTTGACATAGTTGTGTGTTTTTAGCAGCATTTCTGATGCTGCTAATCTAGTAACGGTTAAATAAATAAATAAAATCCTTTAAAAAGACACTACAGGCACAAGTCTGATGAAGGACTTACATTTACTAACTTGGGTCAGACCCAACCGCAGAAGAGCTGAAGCTGGGTGGTGAAGGTAGTTCTAGTAACACCTGAGCACCATGACGTCTGAGACTGATGTAACCAGCGTTACAGTGAGACTGAAGAAATGATCAGAAACAGGTTACAGCTGGGTGATCTAGGAAGTTAGATCTGACCGGTGAACAGGTGAGCGGACCTTCGGGACGTCCCGCTGTCACGCTAAGAAGGGCACGGCTGCAAATTCACACCTGCAGCAGCGAATATGCGGGCCTGCAGCCGTAGATATTCATCACGTCTTCCTCGCTCTTCACGGGCCGGGATGCTCTTGGATGAAAACATCCGCCTCTTTAGCTCCTGATCAGCTGATGACAGCTTCAACACACCGCTATGCAGACTTAGTAACGCACGCATTTTCTTATCAGTAATGGAAACGGTGCTATGATAAAAGCAGATGGTAATTAGATTACTCGTTACTGAAAAAAAAACATATTTTTAGTAATGCCATTATTTTAAATGGTGTTGTTTCCTTCACTGGCTAACAGCGACACACCGCGGACTCTGTTTGCTCTGCAACATGGATGTTTTATGTTCAGTGACAGAGTGACATAGATCTGTCAGGATTTTCAAATCCTGGTGTTTCACTGTCTATTGAAGCTACTGCAGGAGGTAGATGTAGGAGACTATTTTCATGTTCAGCCTGCATGAAAACTCAGAGTGACTGATTATAAATTAGAAATAATGATTTAAAATGATTTCTCAGCGAAGGAGCTCTTTAAAGTACCCATAAAGTCATTTTTAACAGTTGGCCTAAAACATTTTTTTACTCTGGAAAGAAATGCTACCTACATCTAACCCTAGGAATGTCTTTAACGTATAAAGTGTTCACAAGTCTGGCTTACAGCTTGTAGGCTAAATTAGGGATGATGAAGTGCAACAGGATAAAATAGGAGGAGTGACAAAGGTTAACGTTTCCCTCTGAACTCCAGGCAGTTTGATCCGGTCACTGACTAACCAAATAAAGTTAGGGATGTATTCATGAGTCCTCAGACTAGACAGAGAACAAGGATGTGATCTGAATTAACAAGGATCCAAATGCTCTGAAGGATTTTCAGAATAAGACCAAAAATATGCACGTTGTATATAAAAGCCTTTAAGTTCTCAGCAGCGCGGTGGTTGGGGGCTTACCCATGAAAATAACATTAGCATGCACATAGGGTTTGGGATGTGTGCACGAGAATGTGGCAATTAATATCTCAGTCTATTCATCCATTTAATGGAAATATTACAGAGTGTCAGCATCCAAGTGCTTCCTGCATAGCAATTCTGCCGCTCCACCTGCCACCTTTGACAGCATTTGTCTGAAGCTTTCTCCTCTTTAAATGATGAAACCAGGTGCATTATTTCTATTACCCTCACCAAGCCTTTCCATTCACCCACAATAAGAAACCGTTATCGTTTTCCTGTTGACAGACCTACAGTGGTGGAGTATGGTGCTGCCACGTGCATTTCAAGATATTATTGGACGCTTTGAGGTATTTAAACAATGTAAATGATTGGCTTGCTGGTATCTACGCTATAAAAATGACACGAGGTAATTAGCTTCCCTGCTGAAAAGGCACTTTATTGTTTGTTGGTGACTACTGACACAAACAGCAAGCAGGACCTAATGAACGATCTGTTTTTGTGTAGGGTGGTGGATGATCCAGCAGCGGTTGGCTTTTTGTGTTTTGGTGAGGCGGTTCTGAAAGGAACCAGAAATGGAAGCACCAGCTCTGACTACTTTGTTTTCCAACCCAACATCTGATCATGATGCAGAGCGTAACAAAGAGCAGATCAAGAAATCGGATTCCTGTCTCTGTCACTTACGATCAACGTAAGAGGTGAAGAGCATGCGGAAGCGACTGAGCCGGCTTTTCTCATCTGCCCACATTCGCACGACCCCCACTCCATTATCCAGCATCAAGTCGTTGGCTACCGTGCTGCAGAACTTGGCCTTAAGGTTCTCAATGGCACTGCTGCCGTCGTACACAGCCACAAAGTTCTTCTTGCACTCGTTGGAGTGCTCCATCTGGTAGTCTATGAAGCGCAGGTAGATCTGCAGAAAAACAGGAGACACACGCTCATCAGAGGATAAAGAACGTTCTGCCTTTTAGCTCAGATTAGATAAACAATGATGAGGGGACATCTCAGAAGTTTAGACAATAGTTCCTGAAGTAGAATTACAAAGATGTCCCTAAATTTCAAAGGTTTCATTCACATTTATGCTCTATAAGTTTATTGCAAAGAGCCTAGGTTTACAGTGTTGGTCCTTTGTAGTTCACCCTAACCTGCTGTCATCAAGCTCTGGTCCAGATGCTGACTGACAGCAGCTTATTCTTGTTGCCATGAGTTTGTCATAGTTTGTGGGTTTTGTTTGTTGTCCTGCCTCTGCTGGATGGACCACATGTTTCTCTGGAGAGGTTCCTGGACCTGCACCGACATGTTACAGAGGTCCTTCACTCATATGTTTAAAGCATTGGCAGTGGTCTTTGGTAGTAATGAGTGCCTTGTGAGTGGTACTCAGGAGGAAAAACACTCAGATGTGCCTGTTTCAGCTGGAGGAGAAAGTAGCTTCAGACGGCAGCTTTTGGAGCCTTATTTCCTGATGTTTGGACATCTTGCCTTTGATTGGCTAACAGCAACATGTGTCTACCACCGATTCTGTGCACTTTGCAATGTTGATGTTTTATCTCCACAGATAAAACAAGCCTGGAGGAGTTCTGCTGTGTGGTGGAGCTGCAAATTCTAATGGTTAGCTTCTACTTGAAGAGACGCTCTCTGCTGTTTCCTGGACACTAAAACAACAACAGCCTTCCCCGTCGAGAGTCAAGATGGGTGAGTCCATGAATGTTAAGTGACAGCGTGATGTAGATCTCTCAGGTTTTCACATCCTAGAGTTTCACCATCTATTGAAGCTAATACAGGAGAAAGGTGTAGGAGACTATTTTCATGTTCAGCCTGCATGAAAAACTCAGAGTGACCGACTGTAATCGGTATAACTGGTTAATAAGTAATAAATGGATTCTCAGTGAAGGATCTCTAATGTTTCGGATCCACTTAGATCTGATTTCACCCTTCTGGCCCAGTGCTCCATTATGCTGGACAATGACTGTCCGTCCGTCTGTCCATCCATCCATCTGTCCGTCCGTCTGTCCATCCATCCATCCATCCATCCAAACTATTGTGAGACAGTTGGAGGTGCTCCTCTGGGAGGATGTTTAGGTACCATTCTATATCCGTGGATGGTGGTGATGCTGGTAGTGGTTGAAGGAACCGGTGACACCAGTGTTTGGCAGGCATCACCTCTGTCAGTGCACCCCAGGGCAGCTGTGGCTACGTCGTAGCTCATCCCCACTAGTGTGTGTGAATGAGTGAATGAAGTGTTGTGAAGCACCTTGAGGGGTTTTAGAACCGTAAAAAGTCGCTATACAAATACAGATCATTTCCCATTTACCATAGATGTTCTGAGTGAGTACTTGCTTGGATGAGAAGACACACACACACACACACACACACACACACACACACACACACACACACACACACACACACACACACACACACACACACACACACACACACACACACACACACACACACACACACACACACACACACACACAGCAAATGCTCTCCCTCAGCCTACAAAGACAATGTCTTTAGATTGTGGGAATTAATCCAATCAGCAGGGAAAGAGAGACACCCTGACCACGGAGAGCTGCAGCGCTGATGAAATGTCAGCACATTTAGCACCTTGACACCTGTTTCTAGGCTGCAGTCACACAGCTGCTCTTATTCTGCTGCCGAGTCTGCCGCTCCGCTTCATCTAACTAACGTCTGGCCTCAAACGCGAGTGCCTCGGCTAAAGTCACATGATCATCACAATGCACCGTTGTACAGCTGAAACATGTTTATCAGATAGTAGGGGACTTCGTCATGCACATAATACTGTCCTACATGTTTATTTATGACTTCTAAATGTGTCTGGGTAATTTGCTTACACCGTTTGGCACTAATTATTTCATCGGTGTTGATTTTGTGGCCAGTGAGCAGCTCAGGAGTTTGGATGACTCATTTAGACATGAGGGAGGGAGGGAGTATGAATCAAGGCCAGCCACGCTATATTTGTAATTTCAATCAGATTTTTAATATCACCTCATAACTATCAGAAGAAGTCAGTGGGCTTTCACTGCTAGCTAGAAAACTCTCTCCTGAATCTCCAGGGAGCGATTTGATTCCTAAAGATGCCTGCTTTGCTGTTTTTGCCTAAGCTTTAAATGTAAACATAAAAACTGCTACTTATCTGTGGAAGCCTGAAGATGTACTGATGCCAACAGCTGAAAGATGGGTTATAATGTTTTTGCCTGTGTCTATACTTGTCTGTTAGATCAAATGTTGAATCCACTACTGGACGGAGTTGAATAAAATGTCCTGAAACTAACTTTAGGTAAACATCTACACTGGGACGTAATTTTGGGGGGGGGACGGGTGGGACATGTCCCCCCCACTTTTTCAAAAGGCAGTTTTGGTCCCCTGCACTTTTTTCCGTCCGAAAACAATGTTACGCTCCATTAAATGGATTTGGTTGAGCACTAGGACCGAAACGGAAACCGGTTTACTATTAGACCCGCCCAAAAGCTAATCTATTGGCTCTGCTGATACTTGCTAACGTATTATTGGCTGTTGCTGCTGTCACTCAAGTTGGAAACAGTCAGAACGTGCTCACGTTGTTTTGCTAGTTTAGAGCCGCTAGGGAACACCGGTACTGAGTCACATCGTCAACTAGACGCTGTGTAATATCAGAGCTCAGCTCAGCTTCCATTACATAACATTTGAATAAGTGTTCATTTGTGAGTCTTTGGTAGTTAGGCACAGCCAGGAGGCAGCATGTCAAGAAAACGAAAAGTGGATATAAGAGACTTCTTTCAAAGTCTAAACGTAAGTTGGACATGTGACAGACCTGCATTAAGCTCAGACTCACCTCCTCCTTCACAAACATACTCAAAACTAACTTTTACAAACTCATCTCCTCCACATAACTGACTCCTCAGACACAATTTATTCGTATTATTATAATTATTATTATTATTATCATAATTATTATTACTAGTAGTAGTAGTAGTAGAAGTGTAACTTCAAAACTTTTATCATTTAACTTTATTGTAAACTTATCTATTGCAATGCATATTTTCACATTAAAAAGCTCTGAAAAATGAACAGTATCATCATCGTCAACAGATTTTTTAAGCTTAATGTCAAAGATGTACACTTTTCATTAGATTTATCTTATTTTTTCCATTTTTTTTTTGTGTGTTGAAATGCAACAACTGTTTAAACACTTTTAAGGGAAAAACATATTTAATATGTTTTTATACACTCAAATGTTAGGGTGATGATCATGTGTAAAACATTAGTTCAGCATGTCCTCTAACACAGCAAATGAACAAACGGCCAGATCTCAGGAGGGACCGTTTATGTATAAATAATTTTTATACTTTTGACTAGGCCTGGGAAAGTAACAAATTTTGATGGACGATATTTTGTCCATCAAATTTTTGATGATAAACGATATCATTGTCAACATTATCTAGACCAAAATAACCGCTAATATAATGTTAATATATCATAATAATGCAAGTACACCCTTTAAAATGCAACAAATGAACCTTCATTTAACATTGAAATGTCCAGAACCAGAACTTCTAAATGAATAAAAATAACAAACAAAAATTAAATAAAAAAGGAATCTAACTCCCTGTTAGAAAATGTTGCACCAAAAACAATAAAAAAAGACCCAAAACAATAAATACAATGGCCTATCCATTGTCAACAGTCAAAACTGCACTTCAATAAGGATGGAAAAATTATTGAGATGGGCACGTGACGTGTCAAGGGGTCTTTACATAACACCCCCCACCCCAAATCGCACAAGCCTGCTGTGTCCCCCCCACTTCTGAAATCAAAATTTCGTCCCTGCATCTACAACCGATTAACCCATTAAGACAACTTAATAAAGATGGCTGCCACCATTATTTGACCTTAGAAAAGATAAAAGCAAATCCCTCACATTTTCTTAGTCTTTTTGTTAGGTTTTTGATGTGATCTCGAACCTGTTCATTCATTCATTCGTTTGTTCGTTCGTTCCAATAAAATGTCCTTTATACTGAACACAGAGCTGTGCCGTGCTTTCCTTTTGGTACTAACACTGTGCTCTAAATTTCCAAGATCATTTTCACAAAAGCTCTCTGCTGTTCGATGACCACAGCCATTCTCAGCGAAGGGTTTATGAGGGCATTTGCACAGCCATTGTAATCGCCTTTTGCATCAGAGCGCATCAGAAAGTTGTTTCCTGTTAAAAGGACGCCGATGAGCTCTTTTGACCGGCATGGGATGGGAGAGGTCTACTGAAACGCACCGTAGAGTCAGATTTATGTTTCAGAATGACCCTCAGGAATAAAACACGTGGAAACGGATAACACCTTTAGGGTCCGGTGTCGGACGGAGCACACTAAACGGGAGGGTTTGTAGGTGTTTTGAACTATTCCTGTTCTGTTTATGAAGGAATCTAAATAAGTTCCTTTATAAAAAACAACTTCTGTCTATCCCGAGACTCATTTTACGTGAGGAAATGTGGTTTTCTGTAACACTAACTGGTATCCATGCCGGTTTTGGGAAAACCAGAGAACGTTAGAGACCAAAGCACGGAGAACAAGCAATCCAGTCAGGAAGGAAAACAACGTGAGATAGCTGGAGAGGCGAAACCACACAGCTGAGATTGACGTTAGTTATGACTGAATAAGTGGATTTTAAATTTAAAGAACATTCGCGAGTTTTGATGGAACCAGAACCAGCGAAACGTGTAAAGATGATCAAATAAGACTGAAACTCAGACCATCATTGGCAGCTCATTTCCTTTTTGATGTAAGGTGGTGAAGGCACCACTCGTGGGTCAAAGCAGCACAGAAGACAGGTCCGGCGTTATCGCTGGGGCCTGACTAATATGGTCTTTTGTGCTGACCTTAGACTTAGGCGGAGCCTTGATGGTCCAGATGCAGTCCAGAGCATCACCAGGCTTCACTCGGTCTTCCTCTTCCACCTGACTGGAGCGAATAATCCCATCCCATCCTCCAACTTCAAACTGGCAGTCTGCAGAGAGACGGAGGGAGAGGTGAGAAGATAAAACAAGAGAGAAGAAACAGCTTTCATCGGGAGGGTCTCAAAGACACGAGTCAGAGGAGCAAAATGGAGAAAAACAACAGAAAGAGCAGAAGAGAGGAGAAAGGGTGAAAAGAGGAGTGTGACAGACAGAGGGACACACCGTGGGTTTTGTTAAGAAGTGAAAAGGATTTAAGGTTGGACTGAAGTGAGCACAGCAGATTATGACACGGGACGAATGAAGAGAGAGGAACAAAGGCAGGAGGACAGGTAGAGGGAGATAAAGAGGTGTGTGTGTGTGTGTGTTTGTGTGTGTGTGTGTGTACCTCCTTTGACTTCCTACACAATTATGGGCTTGCCAAAGGACATTTGTGTGTTAAGAATTCACGTCACAGTCAGAGAGATCTTCTGAGCACAGCGGAGCGCTTCAAAATGAATCAGACACAAATCTAAGAAACACTGAGGCCCGTACCTGGGATTGGGTTTAGCAGCCCACCCACGTGCAGATGGAAATCAGGATCTGAAATGATCAAATTTGGGAGGTGCATTACTCTCAAAGCACAGAGCAGATATGGGTAAGCAGAAAACACCAGATACGATCCCATTAAGCTCGGCCAGATAAAGCAGAAGGAGGTTTCTTTATCTGCTGCCTGATGGGAGATGCTGATTTCTGGGTTTAAATTTAAAAGGCTCCAAAGCTGAGCTCATCCATCCTCCAAGCAGCTGCCACGCTCTTTGGAGAAAGGCAGGAAAACACATCAGCTCAACTTTGGAATAATACAAAACTGTGAAAAAATGTGATTGATGACGAGCTGAAGCACAAAAAGAGAGATGGTTGGGTAATCAGATCCCGTCCCACTCCACTTCCATTCACCTGCAACAAAGGTGTACTTAATGCGGAAGCCGAGGCCTTCCAGCTCCTCGTCGCTGGTGAACTTGATCCACATGAAGCGTCCCGTGGAGGTAACAAGACCGGGATTTTTCCCTCCGCAGAAGCGATCGATGAGCGGCGAGAACCCAAACGGCCCATCGCGTATTTCGATGTGATCAAAGCGACACTCGAACGATGGCTCGATGTAGTAATTCTTATCAAAAGCCAGCTGGATCCTTTGTCTGGGGAGAGCTTTGGAAAACAAAAGAGAGACAGGAATCAAAGGAGGGAAATCCATGAAACCAGTTTTTGTTGCCTTTGCAGGGAAAAGATAATCTGGATGACTGTTTTACTTCACAGATTACACAGATGCACCCACAGCAGTGGTGTTGCGTCTGAGCTTAAAACTCCACAAGCTCAGCTGGGTCTGAAGTGTGCTGGTTCGTCTGTCACGTTGATCCTCATGTCTGTGCTGAATGGGCACAGCACGAGTCAGGGCGGCCCTGTCACATGAATCACCCTCAATAAACGTGGCGTAGGGTTAGGGGGCGGGGCTCTGAATCCAGTAAGGCTCTGAGGAGCCACACACGTCTTCAAATAAGAATAAAGGGTGAGGTCAGAGGTGACGTGTGTGTTTGAGTGACTACCATACCATACCATACCATTTTATTTATAAAGCGCATTCAACATGGCATTACAACCAGACAAGGCGCTGTACATTAAAAGATTACAGTTAATTAACACGTTCAGAATGACATTTAAAGCATAGTTTATAAGAAAAAATGAAAACAAGAAAATACTCGAACTAACAGTCGTAAAACACTAAAAACACAAAGGAATGTGAAACAACAGATAAAAACATATGAAAGAACCACAGTAATACAGATGTTAATTATTGTGCATTCTATTGTAGAAAGAATGCAGATGTCGAAAGTGGTCCATGATTATGTATTATATGCAAGGTTGAAGTAGTGAGTTTTCATGCGAGATTTAAAAATGCTAATTGTTGGTGCTTGCCTCACTAGTAGTGGTAATGCATTCCACAGCTTGGGAGCACAGACAGAGAAAGCCCTTTCTCCACGGCTTTTCAGACGTGCGTTTGGAAGAGCTAGGAGGAGCTTATCCTCAGACCTGAGAGCACGAGGCGGATTGTAGTAATGGACGAGTTGACACAGATATGGAGGAGCTTGACTGTTCAGGGATTTATAAGTGAGCAGCATGATTTTGAAATTGATCCTGAGATGAACGGGCAACCAGTGGAGAGATTTTAGAATTGGTGTAATGTGCTGTCTTCTGTCAACTCCAGTCAGGAACCTAGCTGCTGAATTCTGGACTAGCTGAAGTCTAGATTGAGCTGCTTTACTGATGCCGTATAAGCAGGAGTTGGAGTAATCCAGCCGTGAAGTGATGAAAGTGTGGACTACTGATTTGAGAAGACGGACACTCAGGATGTGCTTAAGTTTAGAGATACGCCTGAGGTGGTAAAAACATGATTTAACTGTGTTATTGACCTGAGCATCCATCTTCAGAGCCTGGTCTATTTTAACTCCAAGGTTGGAAATTACAGTGGAGACATTAGGTGAGAGATAGTTGAGGTCAGGTTGATGAGTAGCCGGGATGCTGTGAGGATTAAAAACGATTACTTCTGTTTTGGAGTCATTCAGATGGAGGAAGTTATCAGCAAGCCAAAGCTTAACATTATCGATACAATCAGACAGAACTTGCATTGATTGAGTTGGCTTGAATGAAAAGTAGATCTGACAGTCATCAGCGTAAAGATGGTATGAGACAGCGTGCCTTCTGAAAATGGCTCCTAAGGGCAGTATATAGAGGTTAAATAGTAACGGGCCGAGTATTGAACCTTGTGGGACACCCCAACGGAGTGGTTGTGACTCGGATGAACAGCCATCCAACATGACTCTAGCGGACCTGTTATAAAAGTATGACCTGAACCAATCTAGGGCTGAACCAGAAATGCCAGCCCAAGTCTGAAGTCTGGTGATCAAGATGTTATGATCGATCGTGTCAAATGCTGCTGATAGATCCAAAAGTAGCAGAACCACATGGAAACCTGAATCTAAAGCGAGAAAAATGTCATTAAACACCCGAACATGAGCAGTTTCAGTGCTGTGCTGTTTTCTGAAACCAGACTGAAAAATGTCCATTACCTGATTGTCATTTAGATGTGTCAGCATCTGTTCATACACTATTTTCTCAAGGACCTTAGATAAAAACGGTAATTTGGAAATTGGTCGGAGATTAGAGTAATCAGTGGGGTCGAGACCAGGTTTTTTCAAGATTGGCTGAAGAACGGCGTGTTTAAAGGCAGAAGGAACTTCAGCCAATGTCAAGCTACTATTTAAGATGTCTAGCACATTATGGCTAATGAAAGGAAAAACCTCTTTCAGGAGACGAGGTGGGATAACATCTTCTGGGGAGCCAGACGGTTTCATGGCAGCAACAGTTTTTTCTAGATAGGGCAGAGAGATGGGCTGAAAGCTTTGAAGTTGCACATGAGGGGGAATGACTGAATCAGGAACATGGTTGGTTTGGTGAATCTGAGCTCTGATTACACTAATCTTATTTAAGAAAAACTGCAGGATTTGGTTACACAAGTCAGCAGACGCAGAGGAAAATAGTTTTGTAACTGGTGAAAGCACTGCATTCATAGTTTTATATAACACACCTTGATTATTAGAATTAGCCGTTACGATGCTTGCAAAAAATCGATTTCTTGCGCCTCTGACTGCTCTTTGGTACTGAGACCACGCCTCTCTCATGGATTCAAAGGATACAGTAAGCCTGTCTTTTATCCATTTACGTTCCAGTCTTCTGGCATGTTGTCTCATGGAACGAGTTTGCTCGTTCAGCCATGGGTCAGGTCGGGATGTATTTCGCCTTGATTTTAATGGAGCGACAATATCCAAAGCAGCCAGACAGGATGAATCAAGCGCATGAAGTAATCCCTCAACAACAGTAAATTCATCAGTAGATTGAAATGGAGCTGAATTCAAAGCAAGAATAGAAAAATAAAAATAAAATAAAATAAATAAATAAAAGACTGCACCAAAGGGACTGAAATTTCTTTGTCTTTAATCCTTAAGTTTCTGCTTCAAGCAGCAGCTCGTATGCCTGCACTTCCTGATATGTGTTTGTGTGTGTGCTAGGACCCTGGAGAGTTAAACACACACACACACACACACACACACACACTGAATACATAATCACTCAATCTAGTTAGCTGATGAATTTGGGGACATGACACAATCACTGAGCCTCACTAACCACAAATTATGATTCTAAAGCTATCCGATTGGCTCCTTCACTAAACTGAGAGCACGCCTGTCTCTGTGTGATGCTGAATAAAAGGCTGGAGATATGCATGTGACAGAGGCCATTCAAGACCAAACAGAAGCAGACCATAGCCTCCATCTGCGATGCACCACTGCACTAGCACGCTCCAGGGAGCAGTCTGTGACAGAGTCGCTGCGGGTCTGGATCGGATTTGTCCACAGGTGGAGCCCTTGAGCCATGTGTGAAATCTATTCCCTGCTGTAGCAAGACAAGCTGCACAGCTCGTCTGCATGAAAATCTGTGTTTCAGCAACAGCTAATCGATTTAGAGAACGCATCATCCAGACCTCATCTCCTATAGCTGCTAACGACGCTTTCCATTATGTTCCCAGTGTGGCTGGACCCAAACTACTAATGGATGTCACGCTGCTGATGAGTACAGTCTAGTGACCCAACACTGAAGCTCAGGTCTGAGGCACGTGCATCTGTTTGGTTTTTGTAAATTATTTCTTAAAGGTATCCTCTAATAACCATTTTGTAGAGATGAACAGATAAAGATCTAATCAGGCTGGTAGGCAAGAAGTTCCCACAATGCACCACCAAAAGAAGGAAGTTGTTCACCTTTCCTTCCGTTCCTGTACATTTCTTTTATCAGAATATTTATGCAGAAATGTGACCCTTTTAAAAAGATATTTAGATGTCAGAACGCCAACACTTTATGTGTTACTGCTTTTTAAACAAGATTAAGTTAAAATAATCAAATAAAATATTTGTTTCTAATGAAAGACTTTGACCAGGCCATTAAAACTATTGAACAAAACAACAAACCACCAGCGGAAAACAAAATGTACTCATTTTAATGTTCCTCCTTCAACTATCAAGGGAAAACTCACCAAGGAACATAGAAATTAAAGCAGCTATAGCCTGAGACATACCTGATGTCTTTTTTAGCTCAGGTTCATCAAATCTGGCATCAGGCTGTGAACGCTCTCAGTGAGATGACTCCTGTGGGCCGTTTGCACGTTTTCGTCACAGAGGAAGTTGCTCACGTGTGTTCTGGTGAACATGGAGATCATTTCTGCTGCAGGACTGTGGAACAGGAGCTCAGACTGGAGCGCTAAGCTTTTACCTGGTCAGCATCAAAATGATTTATTCAGATGTTCAGAATCAATATTTTAAGCTGATGTCCTGGTAAGCTACGGCATGAGCTCAGCTCCTAGTGGCACTGGCTGGGCTTGTCCCAGTGCATTCTGGGAGTTGCAGTTTGTTAAAGACAAATATTCATTTGGAACATTAGCAGTACACAGTTCCTCTTTTGAAAGTTTTAATTAGGTAATGAAAGCAAATATGAAACTTATGTTTTCTCCTTCCATCCATTACCCTTTGATAATATTAGTTAAAGCCTTCTGGTTTAATCTCTAACTTTTCTTCAAGTAGTAAAGTTCTCTTCATTAGTTCTGTTGTTTGTTAGCTAACCAACACAACCAACATGGCGGCAGCTGTCCACAGAACAGAAACATAAGCTCACGTGTGCTTTTCTAATAATGCGATCGGATGATCTGAGCTTGGGGCCGGCGTCTCCGGGAGCTACGGCTTACCACCGAGTGAGTTGAGAATGCTCGCTGTAATTTCAGATCTTCCTTGTTTTAAATGGACACTGGCAGGCCGGCACAACAATGGCCCCTTCTCAGGTTTTTCAAGAGGATGTAATCCACTGAGCTTGTCAGTATCCTGACAAAAACTTAGATATAAACACACAAATGTTTTTAAGAGAATCACCTTGGTGCCAGAATGGGTTTTTATAAAAAATTACTCTTAAACAAACCATTCTGTTTCACTGATTATTTTAAACAAGCATAGAGCTCCACAGTGCTATCTGGTGGGGCCTGGCCCCACTGGCCCCTCATGCAGAGATGTTCCTGCTCTCTCCCTATCTCTAAGGGCGAGCCCAGACACCCTGTACCCTCGGGCTCAGCTCTCTCTTCACCACGGACAGACCGGTACAACGCCTGCATCACTGTACCAATTTGCCTATTGATCTCTTGCTCCATCTTTCCCTCACTTGTGAACAATACCCCAAGATACTTAGACTCCTCAACTTGGGGCAGGACCTCATTCCTGGCATTCGGTACCCTTTTTCGACTCAAGACCACGGTTCCAGATTTTGAGGAGCTGATTCTCATCCCAACTGTTCAGAGGTGGAAAGAGTACTAAAATTTCCTACTTAATTACGAGTACCAATACTTTGATAATTTTTTACTCAAGTACAAGTAAAAGTACTTGCCTAAATTTTTACTCAAGTAAAAGTAAAAAGTATCATAAATAAAATGTACTCAAAGTAAAAGTTACTTAGTTACATTTTTGACAGCATAAAGATGGCTACATCAGTGTAACATCACAACACCAGTTCACAACACGCTCGTGTTTGTGCGCACGCGCGCGCGCACACACACATACACACACACACACACACACACACACACACACACACACACACACACACACACACACACACACAGAGAGTTTGATGGAAGGATTTCTATCCAATCAGTGAGAACAGGACGTGCACATTGATTGGACGAGGTTTTCTAGGCTTGTACGTTTCAACTGGGATTTAAATTTTTCTTTATTTTGAAAAAAGAAAAAAGTTAATTTTTAGATGCCATCAGGATGTAAGGTATCTCAATGTTCTCATGACAAAACTCTAACATGAGACTGTGCTCTAACCTGTCACATAACAAGCTAAATGAAATTCAAACATTTCAGATGGACCGTATGAAAGCTGCTAACGATGGCCCTGCCCTACTTTACCTCTACATTACAGTTCCTTTATCCATGTCCATCCTAGAGCTCCTCTCTGACCTTTAAAGTTAGCAGAGTTCATCCTTTGTGGTGGGTTCACTCACTCAATTAACCCTTCACCACTGAAATCAGTTTGTTCACTTTTTCTAAGAAGTTTGTTACCTACCTGTGACATTGACATGACATTCTGAAATGTACTTAAGGCTCTCTTTTACAAAATAAATATTTCAGAGTTCAAGATTCAATTGTGGGTTTTTATTTTTAGTATTTTTCAAATTTAAAGTTTTAATTCAACTGGAGTAAGAATTGTATGAATATTCAACAAAAATATGTGTGTTTGGTGAATTTAGGAAAACATTAAATTGAAGGAATAATTTTATGTCTGTTCAACAAGAATTTCTGCATTCAGTGAATGCAGAAATGCATGTCATTCAAACCAGAATCTCTTTGTTAGCCTTCAGCCATTACCCTAATTGGGTCAATGAGAAAATCCAAGTTGGCAGAACTCCTTTCATAACTTAAAAATCCAAGTTAAATCAACAACAGTGGGCAAAAGTTGAGAATACTCAAAAATCTCTTGCATCATGTTGCCTTGAAATTTTAAGTTTTCCAACTTTTTTTTTTAACAGTGTGGGGCCTCAGTTACCTTCATTTGGCCGAGCGAACACTGTTTCCATTTATTGTGATCATCATATGGGGGCTTTGGACTGCATTTTGTCTGATCCCGCACCTTAGACCTGTTTGCCATGTGAGAACCTACCAGAGGCATGAAGCCTTGAATATGAAGCTTAAAAGATAACGTATCGTCAATTAAGAAACCCAGATATTTAAAACTAGTCACCAGTTCAATCTGTTGACCCAGATTAGTACAAACTCATTGACTGTTTTTGTTTTTGACAAAGAGAAAAACATAAGTTTAGTTTTTTCAGTATTTAGCCACAGGTGGGACAATTGTTCTTGTATTTGATCAAATGCTGACTGAAGCCTTTGTAGAGTTTGGGGCTGAACAGTAAATAACTGTATCATCTGCATAAAAATGTAATTTGGCATTTTGAATATTTTGACCAAATTTATTTATATAGAGGGTGAAAAGTAAAGGACCAAGGATGGATCCCTGCGGGACTCTCTTGTAGAGCCGAAGCTCCTCAGAAGCTGCACCCTCTAGTTGTACAGTTTGATGATCATAAGAACCTTGGTCTGAAACTAGAAGTTTCATAAGTGCAATGAAACTAATTCAGGATGACTCGTTTGTAAAATCTCACGTGGATTCTGGTTTCAAACCACCTGGCTTTACCTTCCAGGATGTAAACACACTCCTTGTTGGGTGGGTAGGTGTTGGGGTAGTTGGGTGACATGAACACCCCGCCATTGATGTTGCGCACCCATGTGCCGCAGTCGTTTTGGTTATTAGTGCTCTGGATGCCAGACTCGCTCAGGGAATCTGAGGGCAGAGAGGACGAGGGTAGTTGCGGTGGATGGAATCAATAATCAGGTGATTGGAAGAAAGGAAAGGAGGAATATAAACAAGCCATTTCATCTTCTGGTACATCAGCAGGTTGTAACAAGAACAGGTATTCAGCTCACCTTTAGTTCTCTGTGCCAGAGCCAAACCTTCTTCTATTAGAAAGAAGAGTATCCACGCTGTAGAATAAAAAAAATCACATTTTAGATCTATTAATATCTGCTGGGTCACAAAGAGCAGAAAAAAATCCCTAAAGGCCCCAGGAGACGTGCTTGTGATCATCTGTATTGATCGTCCCAAGCCTTGATGAATAGTGACTGAAATGCAGATCGGTGTGATTTCTAAAGCTATACGTGTTTAAACTGAAAGTAGAGTAGCGCTGTAAGAGAAACGATAAGTCACACATCACGTAGAAGCTGCCTTTGTAACGTTCAGGATACGATCCCTCAGCTGTCAGCGCCAGGCACTCATGAAGACACAGTGGAGAAGAAACAGAGTAAATATCTCACAGGCAGCACAAGATTTATGTCTTTGTTTATTATCCCAAGCTCTAAACTCAATCAACACATATGAGTAACTTCATGTGGATCACAGCAGTGATATTTAGCTCTCATATCTCCTCTTTAGTCAGAGATAATGTCTTTAAATGTTATTTTTATTAATAATGTTGACCTTTTGTCACAGAACTCCTCCATGGCTGAATAATACGCCACCTTTTTTCTACACTGGATGGCCGACTGCAGGCGAAGAGAAATGGAAAAATATGAAAAATGCCTGATTTAACAAATATTTGAGTTATGATTCAGTGCAAACAAACAAATAATAAACAATGACAAAAGACATCTCAGGAGCTGCAAAAAAAAAAAAAAAAAAACAACGTTGGGAATCGTTCTCAGTCAGTGGCTGTTTGCATCATCTGTAAAAAACCCTAAACAACAGAAGAAGGGTACATTGTTGTGAATGGTGTTGGATAACTGCCAGTACAGGTGCTCTAAGAGCCATTATAGCTGCACGTATGCAGGACATGAAAAGCTGGAACTCTAAAGGATAACAGCTCTGGGTGGCAGGGTAAGAAAGGTAAGTTGTAAATCATACAGGAAAGGGTCAATGGCTCCATAGATGTGTATAAATAACATGAACATAAAACATATGTTGACACTGACAAACACCCCCTGGTGACTGGCTGCAGCACACATCTTAGTCCTATTTTATGGAAATGAAAGAATATTTTCTGAGTTTTAAACCAATATTCTTTAGTTTCACACACAAAATCATGCTCTTAAATATTTAGGTGTGTTGCAAGGCTTCTCTGCTTTGCCCCATTGCGCTCAGATTTATTGCAGCTCAGATAAATATCCTGATCTAGAGCTCTCACAGGGCCCAAAAATTCAACCCGAAACCAAAACGACCTGATAAACTCAAAGTCCGGAACTGGCTCGCCCAACAGGATCGCATCCAGCACTCAGGTTGAGCCCAACAGAATCAGAAAAGTTATTTTTTAGGGCTTCTTACTGCACTGCAGAGGACGAGTAATGCATGGTGTCTGCTTTAAGGAGCATGCTCCTCCCCTCTAGCAACACCAAAGGTCTCTCTCTCTCTCTCTGGGCCCACCCAATTAGCCTAATTAGTAATTGTTAACCAACCCAAGTTGTCAGGCTTCCTCGGGTTGAGCTCAGGTTGAAAACTAAGACCTTTACCCTCTACTCTTGTTTGGATTCTCCTCCCTTACCTGCCTCACTGAATAGATTGGCACAGCATGGGATTGTGACATCACTGCCATCTAGAGGGTGTGCTTGTTTTGCTCTTGCACTTATGAATATCCATACTGCCACCACCATGTAAATGAATGGAACATTTTTCTTTCTTAATCATTATAAAGAACCCCACTCAGACAATTTTCTGAAGACTGGATTATCTGATCTTGCTGTTGCACGTTTGAATATTAATTATGTTTAGCTATTGGTACATCAACCTTCTTATCATTTGCACTTTAAACATGAATCGGGTTAATTTAGAAAGTTTGTTGCACCCTTTCACAGATACTGGTTATTTAAACTGTTCTAGCTTCAACGTGGCGGTGCCTGTAAACAGAATACGTTGAACTCACTTTTTAACAACAAACGTTGGAAAAGATGCTTAAAATGTATCATCTCTTAAAGGTCAACTTGATCCACATTTAAAAAGTGTGGAACACTCATTTAATCAATACATTTGCATTCATCTCTAGTAGGAATGAATGCCTTGTAAGTCGTACTCTGGGGAAGAAAAACACTGGTGCAACACTTTCAGGAGCAAGAAGTGAGCCACGTCAGATTTGAGCAGAACACAGCAGCTTTCGGAGTCTTATGTCCTGATGTTTGGACATCTTGGCAATGACTGGATACCAGAAGCATGATTCTACCACTGATTTGCATCATGGATGATTCATCTCCACAAATAAATCAAGCCTGGAGGAGTTCTGCTGTGTGGTGGTGTTGCTAACGCTAAAAGCTGAGACGTTCTCTGCTGTTTCCTAGACGCTGAAGCAACAACAGCTTTCACCGACGTGAATCAAGATGGGTGAGTCCATGAATGTTAAGTGACAGAGTGACATAGATCTGTCAGGCTTTTCTAATCCCAGAGTTTCGCCGTCTATTTTCTAACAGAAACTGATGCAGAAGATAAGAGTAGGAGATTATATTCATGCTCATGGTAAACTCAGAGTGACCGATTATAATCAGAAATAATCATTAAAAAAGATTTTTTAGTGAACTTGCTCATCAATGCTGATGGTTGTAACACAAATCTGCAGGCTCCTAACTCCCCACCAGAGGTGTTTGTACAGAACATAGCTTGAGACAATACATGGAAAGCGGAGCACTAAACATGCAATCTGAGCAGAAGGCTGAGCATGCCAGAGCCTCTGACGCTGTCTTGCTCTGATTAGTTGCTGTAGACCAGATCCCTACTGAGTCTGTAATAGGTTGGCCCGCTCACATTGCATTAGAGCATGAGGCGGGCGCTTTGCCTGTTGGCGCTGAGCGTAAAGGGATGGGTGGAGGACAGTGAGAGAGAAAGATGCCACAAAGGGCATGGGCGTGGAGCCTACTGAGAAACGACGCGCGGCTGAAGTGACGACCGCAGCTGCACCACTGAGCCTGCACGTCTGAGTGAACTTGTTTTGAAACAAACATCCTAATGGCCCCCCAGGCTGCAGGATCCTCGTTAACTCTATCTCCATTCTGGCAATGAAGTGTCCTAGGTGGAAGTATGAGCTACCACCCACATGCAGAAGGCTGGATCCAGAAGCTCTCGTTTAGGCCGTCCACTCCCTGCACAAACCACACTTTACATTTTGTTAGCTGGAGCCAGAAACTAACTCTGTAGAAACGTGCAGCTGCAGCTCATAAGAAAACTGTTCAATGATAAAATAGGAATTCTGTTAACTTAAAAGTAAACATGCTGTTGCTGCTGCAGGGAGGGTTTACCTGCAAAATGTAATACACTCTGAACAGAGGATCACAAATGTGCCTCAAGCTCCTAAATACTTCGTTATCAGGAAGAACTAATCAGCGTAGACACATTTTATAACATTAACCTGCCGTTCACTAATGTGGGCAATGAATAAAATTTAACACTCTACTAAAAAAAAGGGTGAAAATACTAAGTAAACAACTTTTTGGATGCAGGTTGGCTCTTTTCTGAGCAGATCAACAACGAGAGCACTGGTCTCTCATCCCACTGAGAGAAGTGTTCACTGACCTCAGGTCAGTGTAAAGAACCAGAAGAAACATTCCTCTGGGCTCGGTCCTGCTATTCTAGGTCACGTCACTTCATCTCTGCATCACTTCTCAACTTTGGCTTACAAGTCAAATTTAAAGCAGGGAAAAAGGCCACTGCAGCCATCTGTCACACAGAGCTGAAGCAGCTGAAACCGTGGCCTTAACGCTGCCTCTAACATCAAACACAGGCTGCTTAACACTAAACACAGCATCTCAGGCACAATAAACCCAGTTTTAAAGCTAAAATAAACACTATTTATTAGTATCATTCCTCCTAGTTGGACCAGACTTGGCTGTCTAAACAACTCCATCTCCAAAGCTGGAACGCTTTCTTTGAAATCAGCATCACGTTGACGTGATTGCATCATCGTTTCTGCAGACATGTCAGCTGCACCCTGCTGCAGCTGGTTTGAGCACATCCCAGAGGTTTCCTGCTCAATTTAGATACGGTGTCTGCAGCAGCAGCGCTCTTCCTCTGGAGATCAGAACAAAGTTTGCTTGGGTGTTTTCATGCTCAAAGCATCAGAAGACAGTGGTCAAGTGTGGCCAAAAAAGGGATCAGTGTGATTACAAACGATGTACTTATAGGAAACTCAATCGAAGGCACGAATGATTGGTTTTAAGGGACAATGAGTGTGCCAAGAAACAATTCTCCACGCCCTACATCAGTTGCAGCAGGTTGGCTCAGTGAGTCTACAATCTGCAGCCTCAGCAGAAAGGAACATTCATCAGATGTTTTTGTCTTTCTTAAAAAAAAAAAGAGACCAACGTTGTTGCAAACCCACACCGGCTGCAGCTTCACAGCTCTGCTCTTGACCAAAAGATACACAACCTGACACGGTTCTCTGTTGTAGCTTAATCAGTTCAAGGATGGACGTGCCGTGCACTGTGAGAAGCTTTTCTCCTCGGCAGCTGTAAGGGGCCTTCTAGTAAAACATCACACTAAAAGCTGCTGTTTTCTCACATTTAGCCTTAAACAACTGTGCTAAACGATTCTGAACCACGCCTAATTATATAGAGCTAGGCCTGCAACTAAATGCTGAGATCTAAATGTAAATATTTAGCTGACGAGCAAATTCAAACGGCCATTAAAATGGATGAGAGAAGCAGGTGAAGAGGTCCCCCCATCTCAAAGCTCCTTATTCGGGTGGTAAGTGTTTCACCATGGATCATTTATGCAGGAAAATCTCAGTGATAAATGATCCACGGTTGGACAAATCTTACCAGCAAATGTGGTTCTGTGATGTTAGATAGGCGATTGCGTCTGTGGGCTTTTATTTTGAAAGGCTATTTGTATTTTACAGAAGTCTGTTGGCTAAATGCTCCGTTTCAAAACAGCCACATTTGTTGTTAGCTGTGTAACTTTACATATTTAGATTTGATTCCAAACATTCAGATTTAAATAAATCAGTTTAAGCAAAATTAAACATGGCTCTAACATTTAAATGGCAGATCAAAAACAAAAAGACTAAATTAAAATGTTTGTTTTGAAGAGCTAAATGTGACAAAAATGGCCGTTAAATTATTAAATATGTCAAGCACAAATAGCTGCTTTAAACTATACGTTGCTCTAACATTTTAATCTGACTCTTGAGCATAGCAATCCCAAGAGATTAGAATTCATCTGAGGCCACCCTGATGTGTGGTGGGAGATTATAGAGCAGGCGTGCCAAAGTGAGGCCCAGGGGCCATTTGCAGCCCTCCCATGTCTTGGTGCGAACAGGTCACATTTGAAGAATGATTCTTCGTGTCTCTCCAGCAGGATGCTGAGGTAGATGGACACTTTCTAACATTTTAATTATTAGACTATTACTTATATGACCATTTTTAGCCTTATTTGGGATTACAACATTTTTTTTAGCATTCTTTCACGTTAAATCAGTGCCTTGTACCAGGGCTTCCATGATTAGCTGATTTATAATTGGGCACGTGTACAGGTGTTGCTAATAGCAACAAGTGAACTCTCAAAAAAATGGTGTGGCGAGAACCCTGAGAGGAGCTAATTAGGCTAGCCTCTAATGAATGAGCCAATTAGGCCAAATACAGCCGTTAATTCAGTATCTAACGACGCGCGAGCGGAAAATGGTCCGTTGCGCCTCAGCAGCTGCGATTATAAACCAACCACAGACTCTTTTACACATATAGAGGCGCCGCGTCCGCCTGCTGCAAAGTGTCTCCCAGGTGTTGATGGCGCGAGACGGAGGAGCAGAGCGCGTGCCGTGGCGCGGCGCGTGCTTGACGCCACGGTGATTGTACACCTGGAGCGTTTTCACCGCGACAGGAGCAGCGGCGGAGGAGCGGTGTGAAGTTTCTGTCCAAACTAAAGGTTTCCATTAAATTAGCAGAAACGCGTCGGAGCGCGTCACCCCCGCAGCCTGGCGGGTTATTTATAACACGCACTAAGCTCCCTCGTGGGGGTTCATCGTCTTTTTATGGGGTTCTACCCGCGTTTGACCTCTGCTGTCGCCCTGATCATGACTCGCGTTTGTTTATAAGCTGTTTTACTACAAACCAACCACCGGGTCCGGTCCGTTTCCACCGTGCCACGCTTTAACGGATCGGCTGTAAAACAAATATCTGTAAATTCATTAAACGTTCAAAAATCTGTTTATTTCACACCCAGCCATATGACCGATTTATCCAGAAGTGAGGATCGGTGTGGTTGGGGTGTCGGAGCAGCAGACAGGAACCAGCAGGTGAATTATGCGTTCAGGTTCCGATGTGACCAATGAAACGGGCTGGTGTCGCGCGAGAGGGAGACAGGCGGATGTGCGAGGCAGGATTTATACCAGGATGAAAAATACTGATCTCATTTTGTTCTTTTTTAAAACGATTAAATTATTAAATCAGATTTATTCCGATTTGTACATTTTAACGACAGGGAGTTATTCTTTTGGTCAAAATATAACTTTAACTGGTTTAAATGTGAATAATTGAAGATAAAACAAACAAATAATTGAAAGTGAGCCCTGCTGCTTGTCTGAATGAGCGGATCATAACGCACAATGGAGCTGCTCGCCTGTAACTCACCTCTGTGCATCTCCACTCAGTGTGTGAATCCTTCCTAGAAACGCCTTCCTGCTCTGCTCATTGTCCACGGAGCCACGGGTTTCTTCACCAAATCCAACTTTTTACAGCAGCAGCAATAAATCCATTACGCAGAGACGCGCAGAGAATCGGCTCCCGTTCAGCTGGAGATCCCGCTGCGTTTGGCCCCTGGATGAACGCTACCGTGAGCCCCATGAGCCAGGCATATTCACATGCAGAGCAGCTTTCTGCTGGACCGGACTGAAGATGACATGTGTGGGATCCGGACGGGCTGGCGCGCACGAAAAGGTAGCTATCCAAAAGGCGCAGAAGGATGGACCGAGAGCGAGAGAGAGAGAGAGAGAGAGAGAGAGAGAGAGAGAGAGAGAGAGAGAGAGGAGAGAGAGAGAGAGAGAGAGAGAGAGAGAGAGAGAGAGAGAGAGAGAGAGAGAGAGAGAGAGAGAGAGAGAGAGAGAGAGAGAGAGAGAGAGAGAGAGAGAGAGAGAGAGAGAGAGAGAGAGAGAGAGAGAGATCTACTGAACGTAGCGCATTTAGGCTCTGGGTGTTGCTGACATCAGTGAGCGGCTGTCGGGGTTCCATCAAGTCAGACACAACAGGGGAACCTCACTTCCGGCTCAGGTTCTCCAAGATCGTAATCAGGAATCAGGCAGGATCCTGCCTGGGCTGGGAATTTAGGTTGAATAATGAAGGAAAAAATATGAAGAATAAAAAATCCTTGCTCAACAAATCAGTAACAACAATAATACTACCATCCATTTTCTGAACCCGCTGTGTCCATGCGGGGTCGCGCGTGTGTGTGTGTGTGTGGGCGGGGGGGGGGGGGGGGGGGGGGCTGTCGCCCATCCCCAGCGGCCAACGGGCAATCAGGCGGGGTACACCCTGGACAGAGAGCCAGTCCATCGCAGGGCAACACAGAGACACACACGACAAACATGCACACACTCACACCTAAGGTCAATCTGGACAGACCAATCAACCTAACAGTCATGTTTTTGGACTGTGGGAGGAAGCCGGAGTACCCGGAGAGAATCCATGCATGCACAGGGAGAACATGCAAACGCCATGCAGAAAGATCCCAGGCCGGGAAGCGAACCCAGGACCTTGCTGCTGCAAGGCAACAGCTCTAACCGCTGCTCCACTGCGCAGCCCCAATAATACTACACTTCTACTAATTTCAATTAAGTTTATTTAAATAGCGCCAAATCATGACAAGAGTCGTCTCTGGGCACTTCATAAGGTAAACATTCCAATACAGGTCAGTTCATTAAGCCAATCAGTAAAAAAAAAAAAAATTCCTATATAAGGAACCCAGCAAATTGCATCAAGTCACTGACTAGTGTCAGTGACTTTACAGCGATCCTCAGGCATTTAGCGACAGTGGAGAGGAAAACTCCCTTTTAACAGGAAGAAACCTCCAGGGGATCCAGGCTCAGTATAAGCAGCCATCCACCACGACTCACTGGGGATCGAGAAGACAGAGCAGACAGGGAGAATGTTTAATTGGTTAGCAGCAGTGTGCCAGCTGATGGCCCCATGAGGCTCCGACAGCTCAGCAGAACACCATTGTAGCTTTTTCTGGGAAGAAAATAAAATTTACAGCTGAAATAGCAGCAAATAATGCAATTAGAGTAGTGATAGAAGAAAGTAGTCGAGTGTGGAAAGGGTCAGTATGCCCCCAGCGGTCTAAGCCTATAGCAGCATAACTACAGAGATAACTCTGGATAACCTAGTCTTTTAGATGGAGGCATGTTGGAGGCAGGGCAAGGGAGAGCCGTCTTTACCGACTGTACTCTCCACCTCCCTCTACTCCCCCACTTGTCCAGATCAAGGCTAACATCAGATTTTAACCATAGGCCCTATCAAATAAAAATGTTTTTAAGCCTAATCTTAAAAGAAGACAAGGTGTCTGCCTCACGTCTGGGAGCTTTATATGTGAGAAGGAGGATCTTAAAATCTATTCTGAATTTAACAGGTAGCCAATGTAGGGAAGCTAAGACAGGAGAGATATGATCTCTCTTTGTAATTCTCATCAGAACTCTAGCTGCAGCATTTTGGACAAGCTGAAGACTTTTAACTACATTCTGTGGACTTCCTGAGAGTAATGAGTTACAGTAATCCAGTCTTGATGTAATAAATGCATGAACTAGTTTTTCAGCAGTCCAAAGATGTGAACATTTAGAGTCATCCAATTTTTTATGTCCTCAAGACAAGCCTGTAATCTACCTAACCAATTAGGTTAATCAGGGTTAATGTATAAGTATAACTGAGTATCGTCAGCATACCAGTGGAAGTTTATCCCATGCTGTCTAATGATTTTACCAATTGGGAGCATATATATAGTAAAAATAATTGGTCCAAGCACTGACCCCTGTGGTACTCCACAAGTAACCCCGGAGTATGAAGAAGATTTGTCATGTACGTTTACAAAATGAAATCTGTCAGACAGGTAGGATTTAAACCAGCCTAGCGCTGTTCCTTTGATCCCTACAACATGTTCAAGTCTTTCTAAAAGAACATTGTGATCAACTGTGTCAAAGGCAGCACTGAGATCTAACAAGACTAGAACAGACACAAGATTCTTATCTGAGGCCATGAGAATATCATTTGTAACTCTCACTAATGCAGTTTCAGTGCTGTGATACTCTCTAAAACCAGACTGAAATTCCTCAAACAGAGCATTAGTGTTTAAATGCTCACATACTTGGATGGCCACTATTTTCTCCAGGACTTTGGATAAAAATGGAAGGTTAGATATTGGTCTATAATTCATTGGGTCATCTGGATCCAGAGAAGGCTTCTTAAGTGAAGTTTTGATTACAGCAACCTTAAAATCCTGTGGTACATACCCATTTACTAAGGATATATTTATTCTATCTAGAATGGGGGCAGTAACCAAAGGAAATACATCTTTAAATAATTTGGTTGGGATTGGATCCAAAATACAAGTTGAAGATTTGGACTTTCATTAGTACTACTAGTCTACTACTACTACTCTTACTAATACAATTGCTACTACTACTACCACTACTACTACTATTACTAGTACTACTGCTACTATGCTACTGATAATAACAACAATAATAATAATATTTTTGGGGGCGTGGTAGCTGGATGAACGCGTACTCACGGTGCAGGATGGTTGTGGTCCAAAAAAATTGGATGACTCCAAAATGTTCAAAGTATCAGTTGGATTTGCCAATCCATTTATTGTCCATAAAGCTGAAATAATAAAAAAAAGATATTTTCAAGCACAAACATGAGCACTGTCAGAAACGGTCTCCGTGCGCCACACCAGTACAATGACTTTGCACCCTTTTTACCTTTTTTTTGTTAAAAGCACCCTCAGTGGCTCCACCCATAATAATAAATATCCTGCTCACTGAATGACATTTTATTCATGAATGAGTTATTTTCTGTGCTCAAATAGAAATTAAATATTATTTGCTTTATTATCTACATTAGTTCTTCATAAACACTTATTGGATTGATCAGTCCCCAACCAGGGGTTGTGATGGTGTTGGTAGGACCAGGCTGTCCAAGTCCACAGCTCATTCTGTTGATGCAGGTTTGTAGTCAAGCTGCCTAATCAGGATTTTAACTTCCTGTTTTTCAAGCTTATGGGCCTCCACCTCTGTTGCGGTTTCAAGGCAAGGCTAAAAACCTACTTTTATGATCTGTCTTTTAATCTTTCTAATTAGTTTTATTGTTTTACTTATAGCAATCTGTGTTTTCACTGTATTTTTTATCTGTTACGTGTGATACAATGTTTTTATTTTCTGGACTTAATATTTTATGTTTTTACTTGATCAGTGCAGCGCCTTGGTGGCATCTTTTTGCCTGTAAGGCGCGATTTACAAATAAAGTTGAGTTGAGTTGAGTTCCTGTGCTGGGTTGAGTTAGCTTGTAATGAGGTTCTCTTTTTAGGCAGCGTTGTGTAATTAAAGTGACAGTGTGCATTCTTCCTGGCTATAGGGGGCAGTAGATACCTAAAATGTTGCAAGCAAGCAGTATTTTTGTGTTGGCGGAGGATCTTACCAATGGATGCCCATTAGGGTCAAAAAGTCTTGGGGAGGGCAAAATTCAGCAAAAATAACAAGCACATCAGACTCCCTTTCATCACTGGCAACAAGTAAAGAGGTAAAGGTGTAAAACAACAAGGTTTGAGAACAACAAAAGTTTTGTAACTGTTTGTTACAAATCAGTAAATGCATTTTGTCTTCGTGGGCTCCCGTAGAAGGAAACATGACATCTTGCACTGAAGATCAATCAAATCAAATCAAATATACTTTATTGATCCTAGAGGGAAATTAGAGTTTCAGTACACACAATTCAGAGATCAGACATACATGGGCAAGACACATGACAAGAATTGGTGACTGTGGTCATTCGCAACCCTGAGTCGCGCTACCGTAATAGAGACAAGAGGGTTACATGAGGATTGGTTCAGGTCAAGCCCCCACAATGCGGCTTTAAAATTGAGTCAAACCCAGAAGTACCAAAAATTGCAGTTCCACCCTCATCCGCTGGGGGCTGGTATCAGAAGTGAGCAAATCCTCATTGACTCCCATGTTAAAAATGCCAGTTTCACAGCAGAAATAAACATGTTTACAGCCTGGTACCAGAACATGTTTTTGGTTTAAATGATCTAGTTTACACTCATGACAACTCTGAGGGGGGTGAATTTTTTTCTCACTCTTCTGTTTAAGTGTATTAAAAGCCTAAAATTCTGTATAATTAATGAGCATCCAACCCACGTGACCACAGAGCTAGCTCCGTGGAAAGGCCTCAGTAGAGCCTCGGTCTGGCTTGGAAACTGCTCCGGGATTTTGAATCTCTGTGTTTGTGTATTATTTTTTGGATATTTTTTGTGCAATTGTTGGACAAAATGACTTGCTGTGGCACTAATTGCACTAATAGTGCGTCTAAGGAGTCTCCGCTTCATTTTTTTCGGTAAGTAAAATTATATTTATGTATTTTAGGTCACTGCCGAGCTGAGCTTAGATTTTAACATGTACTGTTTAACCATGAAATTTAAATGTAATAGGGTAAAACCCAGTGCATTTAACACAATGCTGCACTTTAGAAAATGGGTTGAAATATAACATGTTGGTGGAGCTGGGTTCCGACTATCGGCTTGTGGAGCTCTCGGGAGACCGACGTTTTCCACTCGGTTCTCCCCTCCCCGCAGCCTGGCGCATCGCTGTCTCTTCGCGGCTCCTTAGCTGCGCGGGCTGACGGCTGGTTCTCCCAGCAGCTCGGCGCATCGCTGTCTGACCGCGGCTTCTGTGTACTGCGGCGGGCTGACGGCTGGTT